TACTGGCACGACTGGAATAACCTTTATGTGACTGATAGACTGCTCCTGAAAAGACAGCTGATTTTGATCCCTCAAGCACTTCAGAGGGCTGTGTTAGTCCATCACCTTTAAAAACACAAATTTATAAACAAATACAAGGTCAGATCACAACATGCCGCGTGCTAGACTGTTTTGTTTTTCTTTTTTTTTCACAGCACATTCATTCTATCCAGTAAATAAGCATTTGGAATGTAATAATTTAAGTGTAGGAAGGGAAAAAAAGGCACAAATAGTAACAATCACCAGGGCCATTAATCTCCTCAAAGCTACCTGCCAGATCTTGGCAGTAGAGGCAACAGACTAGTTTTTTTGGAAAGGACACAAATACAGTACTGTGGTTTATTACTTCTCCAGATGTATTGGTTTGGCTCTACTTATATAGACCTAAGTGGCACACATTGTCCAGAAAGTAAGTAAATACTTGAAAAACATGAAGTTCTCATGTTAGATAATGGACTTTTAAAATAATAAAAGTTTTCATAGAGCTGTTACATTTAACATCATTGCCATCATTTATTTTGCCCCAGAACAATGGGGGGAAAAAAAGGTAGAGAAAAGGATAGCATGAACTAGAGCATATTAAAAGAAAAAAAAAATCCACAAACCATCTGCAAAAGTTAATGGGTCGATATAAAAATCTAACAGCTATTGCACCTGGATCTGCTTCTGCCCAATTTCTGATGGTAAGTAGATTAAAGATGATTCTATCCATGGCACCCAGATAGCCTTAAACTAAATGTTCCAGATGAAAGGAATGTTGAATATGAGAAGATGATATAAAAATCCATCAACAACAAATGTCAATGGTTGGCACAGAGCAAAACCACTGCCTGACCTGAGACCAGGGACTGGAGCTCTCAGACATGTGGAGCTTTTCAGAATGTAGCAAATAATCCCAGCCTCCCTCCTGTGATGATTCAGAAGGATTTCTTTGGAGGATCTGGGGTCATCTGCAGTATTTTCCAGTTCAAAAATGAGAAAATCAAGGACCTGTTTGCATTCCCTAATGAAATGTAAGCTACTTTGGAGGCTTCCCACAAGACCACATCAGAAGCCAGAACTGTCTTCCCAATGAAGTGATCTTAAAACCTCTCTCCATGGGTATGCTCCATAGGCATGTGCATTTGTGTTTTGGAAATGTTGATTTGTCATTTTAAGTTTTAATGCAATTGCCAAACAGAACCATGATATATTGTAAGGCTAAGACAATGAACATGGCAATTTCATGAAAGAGCTTTTCCTAGCAGCACCACGAGCCATGTTATTTAAAACAGGGCAACACCAAATATTTCATTTTGTGTGAGATCACCCATATCAAAAGACTACCCTTTTCTAAAACAAAATATCACTTTTCATGTTGGGGAAGGTTTATGTTAAACTCTAACAGCCTGGAGCAATTATTTGATGCAGTTGATGCAGCACCTTGTACTGCAAGGATCTTGTTTTTTCACTCTGGTGACAGATGCCTTCCTTAGTTTTGAACTGCCAGGCACAGTTACTTCTGGAATTGAACATATAGTCAAATCCTGGAGTACAGATATCCCATATAGGTAATTTTATACAAAAAATTAATGTTACTTTAAACCTAGACTCTTCAAAACCCTAAAAGAAAGGAATACCTCGAAAATCTTACATGCAGATATGGAGGCTGCATGTTTTATCCTCTTCCTTCCATTATTTATAAAATGCTTTTCTCACCATCAAGAAAATTATTTCAGCCAATATTAAACTAGACTAATACCAAAACCACAAAACTGGAAAAAAAAAAAAAAAGCCACCAGGGACAGTTAGAAGAAAAGCTGGATAACCTGAATGCTGTGGTGGGTATAGCCCAAAGGACCTATGCTTCTTCAGTAATTTTGAAAATCTGCTCTTGAAGGATAAGAGGAAGATTTTTGCTGTAGTGACAATATACAACAAAAACCAATACTACTTCAGAAGGACTCAATAAAGTAGCTCCAGGCTGACAATATCCTGAAGAGGTAAAACCTTTGCCTCTGATCCAGCAGAGATCAGATCTCCACTGTAACTTTGTTCTGTTTGGTGGATTTTATTTCACTCGAAGATATAACATGTAGTTGGGATCCACATGATCCATGCTGACATAGCACCAGTATTTCCAGTTCAGGAGGTTTTTGGCCATGACAGCTGTCCCTGAAAGGAGTGCAACTACCATAAACGTCCAAATCTTGCCAAAATTCATAGTTTCATAGCTGCAGAAAATACTGGGTCTGAATGTGATCATCCTAATCTCCCTTTCATGGTCTCCCAAAGGAATAGGGAACAGGCATGGGAATGAGAGGGAAAGGCTCCAGGGTGGATTTCCAGCTGTATGTAGACATGCTACTTCCCTCCTGCAGGGCCATGGGTGGGCACACAACTCTCCACACTCCCAACTTTGGAGCCTGCAGAGGCACCAGAGGAGCCTGAGTCCCTCTTTCAAGACAGGGAGTTCACTCAGAGGATCCCACTGCTCAAAGGCACAGAAAAACCAAAAGGGAGGTTGCAGACAAAGTGCGAAACTCCTTCCCAGCCTCCCCAAAATAGATTTGTGTATCCTCTCACTGAGATTCTGTCCTGTTACTTCAGTTCTTCCATAGCCTTATTTATCAGATTTTCATCATTTTAACACAGTAAATTTGCGTGCCAACCAGGAGGAACTGAAATTCATGAACTTCCCAGGCCCAGGTTCAGAACTGAAGTACATATTGTTTCTTCCCGCAGTTAGAGACACACAGCTGCTCCTGTGTCAGCCAAAGCAGTGCTCAGACATCCAAGTCTGGGAGTTTATTTTTATCAGTCAGCAGTCCAACAGAGAGCTTACATGGCTTAGTTAGAATCCTACATTTTTCTGTATATTTTATCTATATATCTATCTATTATATATATATATATATGATACATGCATCTTTTAAAGCAAAGTCAAACCTGGTATCAGCTGGATGTTTAATGCAGATGTATTACTTGCCTAGAAGAGAATCTGCACGAGGGAGCACTGTAAACCAGCACAGCGCATTTTGTGCTTCGGTGCAAGATTATCTCACCTCCATTTCCCCTAAAAATCCTGGTGGAAGAGGAAATTAAGGGAGACAAACTGAACTGTGATGCTTAGGGAGTCCCTTGATTCTGCCTGTCACAGTTTTAAGCCTGCCTGGGGCCTCAGGGGAGTCTGGCTGCTCTTACTCCTCCTCTGCCAACCAGACAGTAACGGCCCAGTGCTTTTATTCATTACCCTGAATGTAATGCACTAAATTTAACAAGTAACACACTCAGCGGGAATTTATTGGCCTTTTGCAGCATGATTGCAAGGTAGGATATGGATATGGATTCCAATTACTGCTGACACCCAGATAAGAGGAACAAAGCCTATATATGATTGTTATTAATCAAAGGTGATATCTGGTACTGCGAAGAAAGAGAAAAACAAACCAAGAATAATTTAAAAATACTTAACTAAGTACTTTTTTCCTATCAAAATGTCAGTGGTTGAAAATAAAATTATGCTGCCATTTTCTAGCTAGGAATAATAAAAAGGATAAGCAGATTGTGCAAAAATGGTCAGAAAAAAATGTAAATAAAAACTGCTATTGATTATAAAATGACATGCAGAAAACTCTCATCCCAGGAGATGTAATATGCTGTGTAAAGCCTAAAAAAGAAATATGCCTGGGTTCACAGCTGTAGAAGTATTAATAATCGCTAAACAAAATGAAAATTCTGTGTTGTATATTCCAAGGAGCTAAGATTCATATTCATCTGACAGCATTAAAAGATGGGCTAGGAAGAAATTAATTTTTCTTATTCACATCTGGAGTTTAAATAGGTACAATATGAATGGGCAAAGAACAAGCCAAAGACCACTGCATCAAAATTCCAGAAACCAACAGATGTGAAACACATGTAATATCTCTCCTAAACCTCCCCCAGGTGTGCACAGAATCAAGCCACTGAGTTATAGGGAATTGCACTCATTTCATAGCACTGCACCCCACAGCATGTTAAATACTGTGGTCATTCAGAGCAGTGAGAGGCAAAGAACTTGGATTCATAGTGTTTGGAATTGCCAGTCAGCTTGGACATGGAAGATGAAAGTCCCTTCCAAGTTGTCTAAACTGTTAAGGCCAGCAAAGTGGGACAAGACAGCTCATGAAGTTTCTCACTACTATTTCCAATATTCAGGCTGAGCACATCAGATTAATATTTTCTGCTAGGAACTCCTTTTCCTTTCTGAACCATAAGCAGGATGAATTGCTTTTCAAAACCACAGTGTTAAAAGGGATGAAAGTTACTGAAAGACACAGCATAAAAATTTGCTTGGAATCCAGTGAGTCTGCTATTCACTGACAGACTGCCTTATAGACCTATAACTTATGTATTACTTAAAAAATTAATCAGAAAATGTGAAAATTATGTTGCAAATAGCACAGTGGCTCTTCCTGGATCTATCCCAGAACTCTTTCCTGCTTCTTGAGAACATTTTTATTTCCCAGTCCCTTCAGTATTTGTAAAAGGCAATGTATGTGCCCACTGGGACCAGAACTGCCACAGTAGCTGTCTCAAACAAACCATCACAAACTTTTCAGTGAGGCTTCCAGAAAGGAATTCAATGCAATGACTTGGAGAACAAGCTTAGAAGAGCTTTGACAATCCTTCTGTCTGTAACTAAAGATTTTATTCTACAAGGCATCATTATCACATCATCTACATAAGGCATGGCACATGCATGAGGCTTACAGCACACCTAACTGGGGTTAGCCTGCCTTTCCTGGGGTGCTGCCTCTCACCTGTAAAAAGCAACACAGCAGCTTTTGCTGACATTGAGAATTACATTTTCACTTCTCTTGTGAGGAAAAATGCCATAAGCATTTATGGAAAAATGCCATAAGCATTTTACTCTACAAATACAAGAGTTATAAGTTATAAAGATTTATACATTTCATCAAATAAAGAGGCAAGAAAAATAGTTTTAACAAAGGCCTTTACTTAGTGAAACAGAAAAGCAATCATGTTTTCTCACTGCTTTTTGCCACTTTACTAGTATATCAAAGTGTTTTCAGAGTGGGTACAGCAGGAAGAAGAAGAAAATAAATAGGAATAAGATATTTTTAGGAAATAAAAGTTTTTTTAACACATCCTAGATACATTATATACTGTATATTATCTATCACATGACATTTGCTATTTATGTATGAATGATGGATTGTATGAGAGAACAAAATAATTTTTCCTGCATTTGATGCTGTAAGGTTTTACTGATAAATATTTGATTGCATTTATATAGCATTTCAAACTGGGGGACAGTCAGCTTAGTGATGCAGCCTTGGATGTCAAACAGATCTTTTATTAGTAGCTCTAGCATTTTCTTACAATACATGAAGTTTGTCACTGAGGCAGAAATGGAAACAGCTAAAATTTTGATTCATCAGAGCATGCAGCTACGTTTATAATTTTAAGCTTGAGATTAGTGCTCACCAGGGCTTTGTAAATAAGGACTTTACTAAGTAATGACTTAGTAAATGCACTATATTTCCCCAACATTGGCTTCAGAGATTACTTCTGTAGTCCTCCAGCTAAAATGCGTGCTAGTGTTTTACAGTCCTTGCTCACAGTAAAACAAATGCACAGAAGGTAAGTTTCTGTGATTGTCTGCACATTGTTTTCCAAAGGACATGAAACTAATGTTGTTTCCTCATATTGCAACTAGAACCTTATATGAGGAAAAGCCCCATGGGTGGCAACAAATGTTGAAACTCCAGTCTTTTGTTCTCAAATGTTAATGACAAAACCCCAACAACATTTTCTGAAAAAGATTACAATTTAAAATGGTAATGGTACATTTGTCTCAAGAGAATTTGTATTCTGTCTGCAAACCAATCAAGATATGGTAAAAGGATTTAGAGAGAAATCACAGCTGAATGCATAAAATCCTGGGAACAAAGAATGGTACCTGCATACAGGAGACAGCTGGCAATACCCATCAGTGGACAGAGAATGCAGTTATATTTATTCTTGCAAATGCAAAACCACCTTAATTCTGATAGTTTCTGCTATATGTGACTGGTTTTATTCACACCACACTTCAAGGAAGTCACTGTGTCCTCCATATTTTTGCAAGTCCATACCATGGATGTGTATTAGATCCAGACTCTTCTGATTGGAATAAAAATCACCAAAATGTGGATCAGGTTGATAACTCTAATGTAAAATATTATCTTCTCCTTCCCCCACCCTGCCCTGAATTTCTCACAATGCTTTTAACACACTAATCCTTAAGAATCATTTAAGCAATAAGAGTAGGAGAAGGCATCGCACTGGAAGGGAATAATTTCATGCCTCAGATGTGTCATGAAGCATGAGGATGAAGAATAAGTGACTTCAGTCACCTGAGAAGTGAAATGATTCCCAGAAATGCACTGCCTAAAGTATCTTTTTGAAATTATTTCATGGGAATTATTTTAGAAAAGGTCAAAAGAGAATTATTAGATTTGAGTGATTAAGGTGCCAACCATACAGCTCGTAATTCACTTTTTAATAAATAAGTTCTCTCATCATGCATTTAAAAATAAAGCGCACATTTTAAAAATTAAAAAGGACCTCCTTGCTCAGGTGAACTTCCACCCTGGCCAAGGTCTGCTACAGGAGCTGGGAAAACAAGGTTTGGGCCACTCTACCTACGTGAAGAGACTCTCATGGTGATATTTGTCCAAACCCAAAGCAAGCATCACCATTGGCAAGTGTCCATTTCCTCTGAGTGATCCTGGGTCAAGCATCTGTTTGGGTGTGGAGCAGGTATCTCAAATTTTATTCTTAGTTTTGTTGGAGCTTTGTCACCATTTTGTTTCTTTTGCAGAGAAAAATCACTTCTATTCTTCAGGGTTGAAAAAAAATTGTGTCTTCTTCGTGCAGATTTCATTTTTAATAAAAAAAGAGGTTTCAGAAAACCTGTAAAATGAAAAATTTAAAAAATCATCCGTCCTTACGCAGGTAACAAGCTGCAGTTTGCTGAGGCATCATCTCATGGGTTCTACTAGGCAAACTATCAAGTATTGAATGGAAACAACACTTTGGTTTTGGAAAAAAATGTTTAATTTTTCTTTTGAAAAGAATTGAGCTGTAGCTAATTTTTAAAGTTATATCATTAATCTAAAGTTTAATCTTGAAAGATCACACTCCTACTCTCATTCTTGGTATATGTTGTAATTTGACCATACTAGATACTGCAAAACATTTTCCTTCTTATGTCATTTTATGTTTCTTTAATGGCATGATACTAGGGGGTATTTTATTTTCCCGATAACATAAGGGGAAAAAAATTAAAAATTTAAAGTCAGAGGAAAAGGCATTCCAGATTTTAAACCAGAATATTTCTTACTCCTGTTAGTTTGTTATGGCTCTGAGGAACTGATCAGAGTATCTGAAGCGCTTTTGACATTGCTGTCAAAATGAAATATTTAAATTAAGGGACTTATTTTAGCTCCCTTGGTCAAGTACCACATACGTGGTAAAATGTGATAAGAAATCAAAAGGATGAGGCTCACTTGAGGGAGTATCCTCTCAGCCTACTCAAGGCACACAACACAGACATGATTCCATGTAACTAACTTCAGCAGCCAACATCCAGCACAGAGGCAATAATGTGTAGAGGCAGGTTCTGTCAGAGGGTAGTAAAGAAGGTTATTTAGCTCCAAACAACAAAGCCTTACATTCAAGCTAAGTTTGCAGGGCATTTACTGGTTGCTACAATGCATGAAATGCTGTGATTTCCTCTTTCTTGCCTGAACTTCAGCTGGTGTTCCACTTTTGGCAATTGTTCTGGGCATAAAGAGAAGTGAGCGTGTTGGTCTCAGCACCTGAGAGCAGGAGAGATCCTGCACGTGTTTGTTTTTCACATTAGAAAGGGTCAGCTATGGAAAGACTTTGGGGGCTCAGAAGGACTTGACAGCTTTGCATCCTCAAGAAGAGACTCATTTGCTGCCAATTGTAAACGATATATACTGGGGTGAGTAGTGGGCTTAATTACCTACAATAAAATTTCTCAGTTTAAGTATTCAAACTGGTAATCATGAAATTATTTTCTCTTAGTCATCATCTTCCCTGTGCCCCTCCTTGCTTTCCCTGTGATCTGGTTTACATGCCCTCATTTACAAATATTTTTGGGACAATGTCAGGTTGCTTTAGGCCAAACGATGAGATTTCTTATCTATTTTTATAAAATTTAATCCCACTGGCAATGTTGGCTTGATTTCTCTAATGGGTACAATGAAAACAGTGTTTCATTTGGCTTTAAAACTGTGATCACAGATGAAACACTACAGGGCTATGCCAGAGTATGAGGGCCAGGCACCAAAACCAACTCTAAACAAAAACTGAAACTATGTAGTCTGTATTTTTGTTATGAAATCTGAAAAAAAAAAGAGGGGGAGAATAACCCTAAAAATCCCATAAAAGTTGCTTATATAAAGAAATAAATTTATTATATAGCAAAATACCACTGCTATATTGTAACATGATGCTGATGTGGTATCAACCAGAGCTGTGGGATCCCAGATGGGGCAATGTTCATTAACACCCAGCAGCTGGAAAATTCATCACCCAACCAGCACATGGAGTTTCACATCCCTCTTCTGCAATTCAAGGGGGACCTTCCCCTCCAGCCCACTCCCACTCTGAGTTTAACCCCACAGCAAAACTTTTAGGTTATCATTGCAAGGATGTCTAATCCACACTAAATATGCTAATCAAGAAATACCTCAAGGGCCTCTTTGTGATGGTTTTGGTCCTACATGTATGCTAAATCTGCAGCTTTCGGCATTATCTTGGGTAAGAAGTCACCATCTCTGGTTCATGAAATGCCATTTTCCTTGTCCTGTATAACAGACAGGTTTCAAACATTATCAACAGACACAGGCTGGGAGATTGGCTCAGAAGGACACATTCCATAGAGGCAGGATGGATGCTCCTTCTACTCTTTGACCTTCTAATCAAGAGACCCCGGCACAAATAATCTGGTGGGGAAAGGGGAGGGAAGCTGAGAAGAGTTGTCCACCCTGCCATAGCATGCACAGAGGATATCCTGCACACAAGAGTATAGTGCTTGCAAGCCCATCAATATTTACAGCCAGCCTCTTTTTTTTTTGTTTCTTTTTCTTTTTTAATTGTGAGATTCCCCAGAAAGGACTGTCCCAGCAGCACTATGGTGTGCACTGCCAGATGCCAAGAATCTGCAGCCTCTGAGAAGTAGATACACTACTCCTACCCCAGTGGTCCTGTGCTTCTCTGGAACACCCTCTGGGATCTGCCAGCTTTGGGAGAGAAACCTGCTTGCTCTTTTAAGGGTATGAAAAATCTGCCTTATCCCATGGACAAATTAAGCAAATCTCTGTTAGTGAAATCTCGTGGACTCTCCCTTCCATCAGTAGTTTTAGTTGCAAGTGTTTCATACTGATGAGAGGGCTTTATATCCTGGCTTGAAATCACTAAAACTGCAAGACCACATTATACTGCAGGTAAATGTTGGGAAAGAGCACATTTGAAAACTGGGCTGAAGAAAATGGTGGCTTTTCCTCCTTTTCCAGCCTGATTTTGTGAACTCAAATGTCCATCTGGTGTGGTGCTGCTCTGCCTGCACCCACCCCAGGGTCTGGGTGCTGGGCCCTGATGCATTCCAGTGGCAGATGCCCAGAGCCTCCAGGCTGGACCCCCCTTTTTCCCAGGGAGAAAAGGAAAACCAGGGAGGTACCTAAAGGAACAATATGTCAGTTCTTTGTGGCTTTGCTCCCTCGCTGCAGGTATCAGCCTAAGATGGGGCACTGTGTGCTAAAACAGACCTCCTGTAAATATTTCATATTCATGAGACAAGCAAAAAAGGCCTGTCACCACCCTGTGCATTTCTATTATTTAAAGGGTCACTAATCAAGCAGTGAACTTACCTTTCTGACAAATCTCCATACCAGACAATCAATATTCATCTGCTGCTAGCGATACCCTTTCCCCGCCCGCCCAGCATGGCGGTGCAAGCCAGGCTGTCCTCCTCCTCCTCCTCCTCCCTGGGGATTAACACAGCCTGGGCAACGAGCCCTGAGGACCTGGGAGGGTGTGCTGTGTCCAGCACCCCCGGGAAAGGGTTTGGAATTGTCGCCATCCGCCGCAGCGGGTACAGTAGTGGCGGGACTGGGAAGGGTTAAAGTTTTGTCTGTGACACTGAAATTGAGGCCAGCTGTAGGTCATATTCATGTCCCAGTCACAGGAAAATGAACCTGTGAGACAGAACCTAATTATCTGCTAAACCAAAAGCCAGTCTCAGTTCAATAACTTACGACAGAGCTGGCAGCCAGATATAGTGTTGTCATGGTAACGCCGAAAAAAAAATCCACTGCAGTAGAGAACAAGAAGGAAAAGAAGGAGACTGTAACCCTGAATATGCTGTAGCCATTTGATCTTGGACAAGTAGATATGTCTAAAGAGCCAGATTGCTACAACTGTCTATCCACTTTAATATCCTCTATAATTACTGAAATGAAAAATGCAATTACAGTGTGCTCTGAGCTAAAAACCAGGAATAACTGGCTAACTGGGAATTAATTTTAGAGGGAACAATATCGGTTTCTTTCCCCTCTCAACACACATGGACTGAGAAGTATGTGGGGGCTGGAGAGCAGAGCCGCCTGCTTCCTGCTAGTCCAAAATCACTGCATGCCAATCAAGCCCTTGCTTTTCCCTATCACCTTCCCCTCCTCCCTCTCCCATCCACAATCCATTACAGACAAGGGAAAAGTTCAGTAGAGCAAAGCACTAAAGATCTCGCTTTGTGGACTGCAATGTCTGAACTATGTGAAGTTAAGGGTGACATGAGTTTACAGCTCACAGAAAAACATCCTGAGCACGGCCCTTTGCACGAGACTCACAATAAGTCAGAGCAGTCCCTGATGGAACCACGCTCCTGGAGCCAGGGGACAAAGGATCCTGTCCCCCCCAGCATGCTCCTATGGGGAGCTGAGCACATCCTCAAGCAGAACTGGTGCTGGGTATGGGGTTTTTCCAGCTGAATCCTCCCAGGTAGGAAAACAAAGGACATGGTCCTTGGATTGTTCACCAAGCTGGCCAGGCACAAGGGCACAGAGCAGCACCTTGGCTGCTGGACCACCCCCACTCTGCCAGGCCCCTTGGAACAGATGAAAAAAAGTTTACGACAAATCAGACACCAGTACACACCAAACACAAAATCAAATTGTGCTTTGAAATATATATTCAAAAATATATATCTATCAGACACAAATACACACCAAACACAAAATCGAATTGTGCTTTGAAATATACATTCAAAAATATATATATATCTATACATATATATATGTGCCCATATTGTTTACTGCTGTGAGGACCACAAAACCTATCTCTGTTCATTTTGGTCAGAGATGCAGATTTGATGTTGGAAAGATCAGCAGTGGTTCTGTGAAAGAACATGTATCTGTTCATGTGTATTAAAGACAGATTGTAAGTGAAACATCATGGTTAGAACAGTACAATTAAAGCAAATAAGCTATTTATTTGACACTCCTGTATCAGTGTTTCCAGCTTGCTGGAAGAGCTATCTGTGCTTCTCAGAGCAGCTTGCTGAACAGTGAGACTTCACTCCCAGATGCTGGAAACTGCATGGTTTCAGACTCTCACACAGGCACGCTATTCAGACTCAAAATGTTCTTGCCATTACTAATTGCGTAAGTGACTTCTGAAAAAAATGTCAGTATTTCAGATGGTTAAGATAGCAAAATCATTTCCAACCTGAGAATGTGATAAGGAAATGTTATTGTCCTCATATTTTTACTGTGCACAGGCTTTCTTTCTTCTGACTGGGCAACTGAAGACTAGATTTGGCAGTTCTTTTCCAGGAAAAAAAGCTCTTATTCTAGTAATAATACTGTCTGGACAAAAATTACTCTTTTAAGTGTGGCACATTCTGGAGAAGGTTATGTATCTATCACCAATTCACAGTGCTGTGTATGTGTATGTGAAAAAAAAAAGGAAAGTTTGTTCAAAAGCATGTTATTGGCATTGTAACTTTTAAAGTAAAATATGCAAAAAACACCCCAAAAACCAACCCATATTCCACAAAAGTCCACAGGCAACACATCATGTGGATCTTCATGTCTCTGTATAGTTTGAGACCAGCATCCTGATCTCATAAATACTTACCATTAGTACCCACTCCAATGAGTAGTTCTGTTCAGGTAGTAGAGGTGTCTGGTATCTACAGAGAAGAGGAGTATGACCTTTGTACACCTGCACAGTTTTTGTCAGCAGTAATGCAGACCAAAAGATGTCCATAGCAATATTTTCAATCAGCCAGCCTGATGCTTGGCGTATGTGAAGTCTCCTAAGGTCTGTGGGTCTAAACCTGATTATGGTGGCCATTAATTTGGCCTGATTTTCATAATGGAAAATATGAATGACCTCCATAGTGATTTTCTTTCATTGATCTCTGTGTTTCTGAAATATTAGCATCTTCCTTCTCGACCAGTCTGAGAATTGTGCTGAGTCTTATCAAATTATTTAAAGGATTTTTAGGAAAATATCTTCTGGAAATTGGCTTTAATACACTAGTTTTCAGCCTTCAAGGGATCTATGTAAACTGATAACTCATTTTTGAGAGAAATCTATTAAAAAGGCCTCTGAATCTTTTCTACAAGGATCACTCCCACAGGAAATACAGAGGCATGTAAATAATGCAAAAGAAGAGAAAAATCATTGGGAAAAAGTTAAAAACTTCAGCATGGGGAACAGAAATTCTGCTTCTATTTAAAAAATGGAACTGAACAAGATCCTAGTCATCGCACACGGTAAAAGGAAAAAAGTCTTGATTTTGCTACTGAAATGTGTTTTGTTTCTCACCTGAGCTTGCAGACATTCTGAGGCAGCACTTCCAAAAAGAGTGGGCTGCCCTTTCCCTCTCTCTTATATGGATCTGCTGAGGAGAGACAGGCTCATCCTGGGGATGAAGCAAAGGGGAGCCCCAGGGCGGGTCTGCAGAACCTCCGAGCAGCAGAGCTGCCTCTGCTCTCTGTGAGTCTGACAGGGCCACTATTAGGGCCGGAGCTTTTTGGGAAAGAAGCACCCACCCTCACCTGTGATGTTGGCAGCACATTTATCACTAACAAATCCCAGGGCTGCACACTTTAAGCTGCTCGTTCGGTTAGCTAGAATACTGATATATTTACACAGCTGAAATCCAAACGTGTGCCTCAGTTGGTGTTCTTACATTTGTTGAAAACAGACCAAAAAGAGACCAATTAATGAAAAATGAGAGCATAATTTTGTAATGGCAGAAGAATTACAGACAGCTATTGGCTAAAATGTCCACCTTCTAGCATCAACATTAAAAAATAAATAAAGAAGAAATTAGAGAAATCATGACCTGACCATTATGGCAGTAACTGTGGTCAAATGCTGTCTTGTGTCCCTGTATGAAACTGCAGCTTTCATAAATCTGAGCTACACCAAGTATCCACTGACATATTTTATTAATTCATGCTTTTATCCAACCTCCTGAAAACATAAACTCAGAAAATCAAAGCTGGTTATAATAGTCACAATTGAGTATTTCAAGGCAACATTTTAATTTTCAAACAAAATAGGCAGTTTGTGAAGTTCTTGAGAGTACAATGGAATGGGACAGGTAGCACATGACTTGATTTCATATGTATTAAGTGTCTGTTGCCTTTTGTGATGACTTGAAGCATCTGAGACATCAATGTGAGGCTGACCCCAATGAGAGTCTGGCAGGTATGTCACACAGTTCCAGTGGACTTGCTATCTTTGGGAGTAGCACCAGTAGGATGCCCCAAGACAAATGGCCAGTGTAACTTTACACTTTCTAAACATTTCTAATGACTTATGGCTCCTCCAAAGCACTAAATTTTAGTCAGGCCTGAAAGAAATACCAAATAACCACATGAATACGTTTTGATTTTTCTCATCAGCTGGGTTGTAATATGCCCTAATATACTGGCATTATGCTATAGAGTGGCTGTACTTGATCTAATCCCCCTAAATCAGCACTTACTATTAGATGCTAAATTTTGTTGTAGAAATGAGAGCTCAATCACTGCATTAAAAAGTGAGAACTGTGAATTACTTCAGATAGAGTCCTTGGTAATATCATACAATTTACAAATTGTGACACTATAGTTACTTTAAAAAATCATATATAGTTGACATGAATCATCCAATAAAGCTGCTATATTAAAAACAAAAATCTCTGTTTAAACTAAGCAGTTAATATTTAAACTCATGTTCCATTAAAAATATGCCAGGATAGTTTTGCATCATGTTAAATGATAAACAGTGAGGCCACTTGATTTGAATCTATTTTTGTTGCAGTTTTTAGATCCTGTGCAAAGCAGCTAAATATTATATTTATTTGGTTGAATTTAAACAGAACCTTTTAAGTCTTGGAATAAAGACAGTTTAGACTCTTTTTCCAGAGCTAGCATTCTACTTTGGTGCAGGCTTCAATGTAAACTTCTCATCTTGTCCTTGAAACCCATGACCAGGTAGATGTGATGTTCTGACAAGGGAAATGTCTTCCAGGGTTCATTACACTGTCCCCCATGTAATCTGGAGATATATTAAGCACAGAAGGATCCAGCTCATAGTATGGAGGTTTTTGACAGTGGAAATAATTTAAGTGTCTTGTAAGGATGGTGGCCACTCTTCAAAATGTTTAGATTTGATGGTGACACCTTAGCAACTGAAGCCAAAGGCTCCCCTTGATTTTAACAAGGCCAAAGCATTCCTTTATGGAAACAACAAGGCTGCAAGATGCCTCTGTCTTCCAGGAAATGCTTTATGCTGAAAAAAACAGTCATGAGAACATCACAGTGCCAAATGTCACAGTTCTGATTTAATCCACCTTTAGGTCTCTCCATTGTACAGAACAGTGTGTGGCTGGAGAAGTTTGCCAATAAGCTACACGTATCAGAAAAAATCATTGGCCCCAGGCAAAATCTCTCATA